TAATCTCAAACCAGAGAGTGCACACAGTCATATGACGTCATTGATTCTACATTGAAAAAAAGGAAATGTTGTCTAATCTAAATGGTTTGCGTGAAGATTTTCTTGCATACAATTCTTCGGGTAGGGGCGAAGCCCCACCCCCCGCGTAAGAACGTCTGAGCCCCCCCCCCCCCTCCCCAACTCAAAAGAAATTTCCTCATCGATACTCTATAATAAAATTACCGCCTAATTAATGTGTCTAATCTAAAAAGTGGTTTTCTTGCAATGGGACGGTAGACATGTTTTTTTTTTGGGGGGGGGGGGGGGGGGGGTGGAGGGGTGGGGGGGGGGTGTGTGGGGGTGGGGGGGGTGGTGTGTGGGGGGGTGGGTTGGTTTCAGTGTTTCTTTCAGACTTTTTCCTCCCCGGAGAGGGGTGGGGGGTACTTGAAATTTTCGGGGGCGGGGGTAGAATTTTCTGGGAGGGGGCGGACACTGGAAAAAGTATATAATTATATTTCGTTGAATGGGACGGTAGACATGCTTTTTTGGGGGGTGGGGGTGGTGGAGGGGTGGGGAGGGGTGGTGTGGGGTGGGGTGGGGGTGGTGTGGGGGGGGGGGTGGGGGTGGTGTGTGGGGGGGGGGTGGTGTGTGGGGGGGGTGGGTTGGTTTCAGTGTTTCTTTCAGACTTTTTCCTCCCCGGAGAGGGGTGGGGGGTACTTGAAATTTTCGGGGGCGGGGGTAGAATTTTCTGGGAGGGGGCGGACACTGGAAAAAGTATATAATTATATTTCGTTGAATTGGACGGTAGCCATGTTTTTTTTTTGGGGGGGTGGGGGGGTGGGGGGCGGTGTGTGGAGGGGGTGGTGTGTGGGGGTGAGGGGTGGGGGTGGGGGTGGTGTGTGGTGTGTGGTGGGGGTGGTGTGGGGGGGTGGGGGGGTAGGGTGGGGGTGGTGTGTGGGGGGGTGGGTTGGTTTTAGTTTAGAGAAAAGAGACAGCATTATCAGCCTAGCGCCCGTTGTACCCTTCCTCAACGGGCCATTTTTCTCGTAATATTAGGTTATAGATCTAGATCTATAATATCTAGATACTGATTTTTATTTTTATTCTTTTTAGTGTGTATAGCAAAGTTAGTAATAGTTATCATAGGCTTACACGTTGTTGTTGTTGTGTGTTTTTAATTTATTTATTTCCGACCTTGGCTGGTCAGACTACATTCTACCATCATTCTGAAAACTCAAGGTCCTCATTGTTTTGGGGTTAAGTGTCAGAGTTTACGTTCTCCGAATAATTTTTTTCTTCCGGGTTGTGTTCGAGGTTTGTGATGACAACACATGAAAGTATTGAAAGCTATTAATTAATAAATTATTAGGTCTATAGCCTAATTATTATTAATTTATTAACTAGATTCTAGTAACTGGAATCTAGATTTATTAAGATTAAACTTGATGGTGATCTATCGTTTTAAGTTTTAGGTACGTGAAATCGCCCGCGACTAGGTCTAGTAATGAAATGTGAAAAACAGGTGACTCCTTCCTTATTAATAAATTTAATAAATTTGTTATTTGGTAATCTATCGTTTCGGGTACATAAAATCGCCCGCGACTAGTAATGTGAAAAACAGGCGACTCCTTAAATTTTAATAATTATTTCACATTTTGAGGAGGATTTATAGTGATTTATATTTTGAAAAATACAAAAATGTTTCCTTGTGACATTTATGTACCTGTTTTTAAACAATTGAATTAAAACTTTTCAGTAATAAATGAAGACTAGCGATGTTTCCAACAGATGCAACCATGCTCATTTACTATAGCATAGCAGTCATCTTGTTTAAGTTTTTTTTTCTAAACTTATAGCGCGTGATTCAGGGGGAAGCCACTCTATTTTACAAATGACTGCAGTTTGTTTATATAGCAAATCTTGCTCGCAAACACTGCTGTTTTAAGTTAATTTCTGCCCATATTTATATATTTAGCCATTGATTTAGGTTTATTATTCATTTATCTACAATATTTGACACAAACATATCACAATATACTTCTATTAAAGCCTTGACAATGAGGTAACTTTTTTGTACATTACTAGCCGCGGGCGATTTTACGTACCCAAAACGATAGATTACCATACATTTTAATAATTATTTCACATTTTGAGGAGGTTTAATGTTTTGAAAAATACAAAAATGTTCCTTGTTTTATTTATGTAGATACATGTTTTTAAACAATTGAATTAAAACTTTTCAGTAATAGATGTAGCGATGTTTCCAACACATGCAACCATGTTCATTTACTATAGCAGCCATCTTGTTTATTATTTTTTTTTATTGTAGACTTATAGTGGATAGGGCAAGATTCAGGGGAAGCCACTCTAACTTACAGATGGCCGCTTTTTATATAGCAAATCCTGCTCACAAACACTGCTGTTTAAAGATAATTTCTTGCCTCTATTGATATATTTAGCCGTTGATTTAGGTTTATTATTCATTTATCTACAATATTTGACACAAATATATCACAATAAACTTCTATTAAAGCCTTGACAATGAGGCAACTTTTTCGTTCATTACTAGCCGCGGGCGATTTTGCGTACCTAAAACGATAGATTACCAACTTGATTTATACTATTAGAATCTAATGTAGATCTAGCAGATCTAGGTCTTTTTTCAACTTTACTTTATTGTTATTGTTTTAATTATTATTAGGCCTAAATAATAAATATATTGATATATTGTTTTAGCCAGCAATTTGTAATGTGAAAATTTTAGTAATTATTTCACATTTTTAGGAGGATTTATGTTTTAAAAATTACAAAAATGTTTTAACGTTTCATTAGTTTAGATGTTTTTAAACAATTGTATTAAAAAGTTTCTTTTTGGTAAAATTATAGTTAGATTCTAGAGGTGTTAGGGAAGCCACTCTATTTTACAGATGGCCGCTGTTTCCATTAAAGTTGATGTCTTGCCTAAATTGATATATTTAGCCATTGGTTTTGGTTTATTATTCAGTTTTCTGTAATATTTGACACAAATATATCACAATATACTTCTATTAAAGCCTTAACAATGAGGTAACTTTTGCGCACATGACTAGCCTCGTCCAATTTTACGCAGTTAAAACAATAGATTACCAAATAATTAAATAGGCTTTAATTAATACTATAAAATTAATAATTGATACATGTAGGTCTGTAAATATTGTGATATATATTTGTGTGAAATATAATATAATAGTTTTTGAGAAAGATTTGCTATATTAACAGTGACCATCTGTAAATTAGAGTGGTTTCCCCTGAATCTCTAACTATGATTATGTATTTAAAAAAAAAACAACATAAGATCAGAGTTTCTTTCAGGCATCACGAAGAGAGTTAACCTCCTCGCCCCCCCCCCCCCCCCCCCTCCCCGAAAATATCACGCGCTCCCCCTGAGAAAAAAATCTGAAAGAAACACTGCTTAAGATCGCTGGTAAAGTAAAGGAGCTTGGTTGCATCTTATGGAGACATCTCTAATCTTTATTTAATACTGAAAAACAGGTGGACCTACATGAAACATTTTTGTAACTTTTAAAACATAAATCCTCCTCCTAGCAACGTAAAATTATTACCATAAATTTAATGAGTTACCTTTCTTCCACATTACTAGCCTTGGCCAATTTTAAGTATCTAAAACAATAGATTATCTAAATTTTAGAGGCTTATGCTATTTTAATTAATTTTATTTAATTTTATTTATAAAATTATATAGTAATATGCTTACTAATAGGCCTAAGGCTAAGGCCTAAGAATTTAAGATAATGAGTCGTAATAATTGTAAGGATGGGACAAAAAGAGTTTTGAAGCCTAGATAGCTTTCAATAAAATCTGACTAAGATCTCGAATTCCTTAATTTTATGAATTTCTTAATTATTTTACTGTAGATCTAGAATCTAAATCAACCAACTCATAATAAATTAAAAATAAATTAATTAAATAAAAAATAATAGGATATTAATGATAATCTTTCCCATTTTACAAATTATTATTTATCCTCATCCTAATTTACTAAGCCTAACTATACTAAGCTAAGTTTAGTAAGTTAACTTAGTTATTAAGTAAGCTTGTCTGCAAGTAACAAGTAGGGCCTACACCCCTCATGCCCTAGTTGTGCATTGACTTTTCATTTTCTTTAAATTTAAAAAAAAAAAAAAATATTTACAATCACAATAGGCCTCCTCAAACATGCGCAAAAATGTAAATTCATTTTATGTTATATATAATCCTCCAACACCCCTGGGGTACTACTTGCTTCAACTGCACCAGGGAAAGCCTGCCGACAGTTGGAGTGACCTGGAGCAGTCCACTCTCTCTTATCTATGGCCAACATTCCCAAGGGGAAAATGCTAGTGTGCAACTTGTGTTTTGTGTGCGTGGTGTTTTAAAAGTCTTATACAAGGATATATGTATTCTACAAAAGGTTCAAAACTACTGCGACGCCGTGCTACTGTGCAGTTTATTGGGAACACTGACTATGGCACCTACACATTCATTTTTTTAGAGCACCCCACACTAGTGATATGGGAGGGAACTAAACCAAACCAGTAGTTGTACCCAGCACCCCAGCAGCTGTGTTACCTGACACGGCCTCTGAGTTCAATAAAATTCTTCTAAATTACGTAGTCATTTTCTTTGTTTTATTAATTTATTTTATGGAAAAAAAAAGTTATTTGTGGCTGACTATCATTGTATCACTGTCCTCATTTTTTACAGGACCTATAGATGAAAATACCTTCAGCAATTTTTCAATGCCTGGAGATGTTTTTATTCAAATCATGGCCAACATTTGCATTACGGACATTAATTTATGGAAAATGTCTTGACTAGTTTCTAATGGACTTTATTTGAGTTAATCTACATTTATGTTAAAAATTTAACTCAATTTAACACCTTCAATGATTAATATTAACTTACTTAAATACTAGTTTAATGAACACTTGACAACATTACTGTAATCATGGTTGTATTTAAATTATTATTTATACCTAAATCTGAATACTTGGACATATATTTCTACAAACAGGGGTCTTAAGAAGTGAGTTCCACTATGGTTGTTGACCCTTTTATTGCCAGCAACATAATGGCTGCATTAGGCAAGCTGGACCCAGGGGATAATTTTTCAGACTTCACAGTCATTGTTGACGGCAAAGAGTTCCAGTGTCATCGTTTTATCCTCAATGCCTGCTCTGGGTTTTTCTCCGCTCTGCTGAGATCAGGCATGAAGGAGAGTATTGAGAACAGGGTAACTGTTGAAGGAATCTCCAGCGGAGTGTTCTCCCTTATCTTAGATTCCCTGTACAAAGGAGAAAATGTTTTAACTCAAGAAAACGTGATTGACGTGTGGTACGCTGTCAACCTGCTACAAATCAGTTTCCTGGTCTCCGAGTGTGAGAAGTTTGTGGTTGATAATTTAATCTCCAACAATAATTTAGGTGTGTATAGACACGCCCAGACATTAGATTCCAAGACTGTGAAGAAAGCTATTTTAGACGTGGTTGTGAAAGAGTTTGAGAAATATTCTCACACCCCGTGGCTACAGGAGCTCTACCCTGAGGACATCCAGTACCTGGCCGAACAAGATGACCTGCAGGTGTCCTCGGAGGATGTTGTGGTGTCTGCTATATTAAAGTGGGCCTCGTACAGCTGTGAGGATGACAGGGACGTGAAACAAAGTATTATCATAAAGCAGTCTGGTGAAGGGGACCAGACAGATGTAGCCAGAGATGAACAAGGTATTTTTTGTTTTTTTTTTAATTTTTTAACTCATGTCCCAAACATAGAGTAAATTGACCTTAATGCTCATTTATGATATAAAGTTAGGTACCTTTGCTTTCTCACTTGCATTTTTTTTTAATCTGACTGATGTTTTATTTACTCATTTCCGAAATACAAAGAAAATTGACAACCATGAAAATTTAGGCCTATTTTATAAAGTTAGGAACTTTTGATTTTCTCAATTTTTATTTTTATCAAAATTTTCAAGATAATCTACTTGTATTAAACTAGTTTTTACTTTTTCATTAATAACACATAACCCTAACCCCAAATCCTAAAAGTTAAGGTATTATTATGAACTATTTCTGTGACACATGTATGGATATTTTTTTACTTTGCTTCACTCGCATCTTATCAACAAAAATAATTGTAAGTGATATGGCTCAAAGGATTAAGGATGTCAAACTTTTTATATCCCATATTTTCTGAACAAATAGATCTAATTTTTTACTTGCAAATTGTAACTTCTATTGTAAAAATTGTAAATTCTATTACTGAGTCTTGGTTGTTGAATTATATTAAATTTATATTTTTGTTACTTAAAGAAGAAATTACAAGAATTATATGATCTCTAATTCTAAAACACTGACGTTTTTTTTTCAAAATATTAATTTTTAAAAATTCAGTTTAGTTTTTGTATACAGTTTATAATTATAATTTTTTCCCTTTTGTTTAGATGTAAGCACTTTATATACAGTTTATGATTATAATTTTTTCCCCTTTGTTTAGATGTAAACACTTCAGGGGACAGAGCAGTTGCTGATGCTCTAGAAGACAGCAAGCAACAGAGCAGTGAGCTGTTAGCCTGCTCCAGACACAGACAGCAGTACCTGGGCAGTCTCCTGAAGGCATGCCGGATTTCTCTGGTCTCTGCAGACTGTATAGAAGCGCTGATGAACAACGACATGGTCCTAGAGAACAAGCAGGCCATGTCTGCCGTCCGTCAAGCCGTCATGTCACACCTCAAGCCCATGCCCTGGTCCTTCTCATCTTTTCACCGGGCTTCAAGTTCAATGGACAACGTGGCTGTTTTCATTGAGAAAAAGTACGTTAAAGCTTACAGCTTGAGAAGAAATAAAACATACTTTGTTAGCAGTTTGCCCACATCAGGTGAAGGCAGTTTGTCATTGTCTGTCATCAATAACAACCTCTTCGCCTTGACGGTGTTTTCTAAAGGAGGTTTCTATTCCCCGAGTATCTTGCTGCACCACCAGATTGAACAAGACAAATGGTGCCAGGTTTTGGAAAACTTGCCGCTCCAGCAAGCCTTCGTCGCCCTTGACAACTATGTTTACCTTTTCAACAGCGCCAACATTTGCAGGTTCCCGGTCAGCGCTTTAATCAGCAGAGACACTGCCCTGGAGAAAATCTGCCCCTCCCCGCTGAATAAGAGCATCAACGTCTACGCCACCGTCACCCACAACAAAAAAATTATTTACTTTTGTGGCGATAACCAACGGTCATCGGGTTTGGTGTTTTGCCTGAACACCCAGACCAACACCATCAACACCTTGGAGAACATTGAGATGGCTGACAACTTCATAACTTTTAAAGATGAACTAAACACGTACATATTGTACGACAACGGAACCCTCCAGCGCGTTAAAGACCACCCTGACAAAGGCGTTGATTTTTTATTCATGACAAAACTTTGGGGGTTCTGCTGGAAAGTACAAGGCGCCATCGCTTTCAACAGACACCTGTATCTGTTTGGTAAGTCCACGTCAGTGTCCCCTGGGGACGTTCTGGACAACACTGAGGCCAGGTGGTCTACATGCTTGGCTGGGTACTTTGACCACATCAAAGTTGTTTTTGTGGACAGCAGGTGTCAGTGTTTGCCCATGATTATGCCCAAGAGTTGGATGGATGAGACAGACAAAAATTGCAAGCCCAAATCTAACTGGGATTAATAAGATATACATATACATATATATATATATATATATATATATATATATATATATATATATATATATATAGATAGATATATATAGATATATATAGATATATATAGATATATATAGATATATATAGATATATATAGATATATATAGATATATATAGATATATATAGATATATATAGATATATATAGGTATATATAGGTATATATAGATATATATAGATATAGATATATATCTATATAGATATAGATATATATCTATATAGATATAGATATATATTTAGATATGTATAGATATATATATATATATTCATTATCGTTATTATTGTCCAAATAAAAATTTGAAAAATCTGTGCCTTTTTAAAATAAAGATAAGGCAGTCCATTTTGTGCTGCTAATATGATGCAGATGGATCCTATAGTCAATTTCTTGTTTAGGCCATGATGAGCAAAGTCATTATATGACCAGCTAGCCATATGTTTTCTCTATGTAAGTCAGGTACCCATCCAGGGCAGAGTAAACTCAAGAGTGTTGTTGGTCAGGTCAGAATCAAAACCCAGTTATTGCCCTGGATGAATTTTTGTCCCTTTTTGTAACATGATAATATTTTAAAGGTATTAAACTATGTGAATATTGAACTGCTACATTTTTTAAGTTTAGGCAGTCATGCATAAATTCATTTACATGTTTAGGGTGAAGCAGGCCTCAGACTTTTCTGATATGTGGGAGGGGTATTATAGGAGTGTGATATTGTATTTATTTTTAGTTTTGTGAGATCAAAAAGAAAACTTGATTTGTTTTAATGGTTAGATGGAACTTGTATGACATCATTCTAAGGAGTCTTGTTTTTTTGCTACATTGTGTTTCAATCAAGTAGTGATAGCTAAATGGTAAAAAGCATGCTATTCATGGATGATTACTAGTCTACACCATGTAAAATGCCCTTTTTAAAATATAGAAAATGTAATGAAACCACATTTTATATTTTTATCAATATTTTGTGTGTTATTTAGCTTTTTAAATTTTGCACAGAATGGTTAGATTAAACATTCATGACAATGTAATTTAATATTAAAATACCCATTAGCACTATGCTATATTTGTAAATTTAGAAAAAAATAAAGTAGGGGTCACTGGCTAAATAAAGAGGTAAAGCTTTTATGTGCCATATATTATTTTTACAGTACTTATTAATATAATTTAATATATACATGACCTTTTTCCCCAGCACTAAGTACATTCCAGTGTTATTTCACATGTTAATTATACATGTTATAATTTATTTATCTCTTAGTTTATTCCTTTGCAATTTTTGCCTTTAGTAATTGCATCTAGTGAGCTTCTGTTTAATTTTTTTTAGTTTTTGTTTTAGTTTGTATACACATTTATGAATTAGTTAAATGAAATTGTTCTCTAGATTATGTATTTTGTTGGGGGGGAATTTGTGTTTTTAACTTTTGTATTGTAATGAGATTATATACTGTGATTTATTGACTGATCAGCTTTTGATCAATCATAATTTTTTTAATGCTTTTTGCATTTACTACAATACCGCTTATATGTGTGATATCATTTTAGAGGGTTTTCTTTTTTTACAATTAGTATTTTTTGACCTACGCAATATATAATATATATTTTGTTTTACAGCACTGGATGTTAGCTATAGTTCTGGTTGTGCATTGTTTTTTGACTGTCAGTTTGATGGGAGTACATTTTGCTACCTATAACATAACTACTATTAAATCTTTTTATCTACATGTGTAAATTGTATTGTTATATTTTGGTCAATGTGCATCAGTAGTTGCTTGTTTCATTATCAAACAGACTGACTTTGCAAAGTTATGTGACGTAAAAAAAAATAATGATGTAATTATTTATTTTTAGTATCTATTTTTAGGTTTCTGTATTAACACCAACCTTATGAAATTAATTACTGACATGTAAAAAATTTTGAAAAAAAAATTAACTGGCATATTTATCTTGTCATAGCTTTAAACTTTAAGCTACACACCAAGCTGATACAAACTACACACATACACCACATCTTCACACACTGCATTGATGAAAAAGAATGAACACAGATACTGCATGTTGTCACTGAACATTATATTCTGATCTTCAAGTACTAAATTAAAAACCATTTAAAATAGAATTATTTCAACCAAACAAATATCCCATAATATTTAAAAAAAAACAATGTACACAAAACAAGAGTCCTTACAATGGTAATGAATCAAACAAAAAAAAAACAATGCAGGTCTGAAACTATCTTGAATCGGTCTATAAAAACTGCCTATAGCTGCATGAAATAGGACAATATTATGAATGGCTGTTATGAGGAAATGAAAGACAAATAATTATAAAATTACATCAGTTTCTATAGACTACTCGAGTTTAGAGTCAAACTTGAAATTCATATGCAAAAATATAAAACTGGCTTACTTTAAACAGGCACATTTGTCTAAAGAACTAAAAAGATTATTTACAACAAAAATGTAAAATGGAAATACATTTTTTTTTTCTTTATTTTAACAAGAGTCAAGACATCTGTCTTGTATCATACAATTTTTTGAGTTATGTCCCCTTACTTGCCAGGACTAGTGTCAACACTGTACAAGTATATACAGACTCTCCAACCAAAATAACTGTGGCTGCTTGTGTAAGACTTGTGTACACAGCTGGGCTAAATCTCTGTATACATTTGTTTATATATTTACATAACCAGTAAACATCAAATTACACTGAAATAATTGTGACTTCACAGATCAATGTCACAATGTAATTAACATTTTTAAAATTTTATTTTACATTACCAAGACAAGCTTCTACATTTTGTATGTAGATATTAAAAAGCACATTATAATTTGACACTGTATTCTTGTTGAAAAATTAAATCTTAAAAAATTAATCTATTTAATATTTATATAACAAAACCGTAACACTAAACAAAAATTACTGCCATTTGTTTCGTATATAAATTTGTTGATACTTTTGGAGTAAAAAATATCACCACCTGACCATTCTGATCACCAACAAATTAGCTGCAATACTAGTGCTACCATTACAACAGCTAGTATTAAACAATATTATTGTTATTATATTCAACAAGCCGACCCGCTGCGTATCATACGCCGCTATTTAGTTGTTTTTTCTACTTTTCAGTTATTTATAATTTGTGAATTCGACAGTACCAATGCTGCCACTGAAAATATTTGCTTAAAACACTAAACCCCCCTTCCCCCCTCCCCACGTGAAAGCAGCCTCCTCTTACTTACCTCCTCTAAGTTTAAAATCGTTTCAAACTAAATTATCTGCCCCTAATAGCCGTCACCAAACACGTCTCTATGATTGTAAAATGTAAACAGCGTGAACCACAGCTCACCAGACCATGTGAGGGGGTGGGTGTGTGGGGGGGGGGTGTGGTAGCGATAGAGAGGAAGAGAGGGGACTGTAAGGCGCGCTTTGCAGCTTGTTTTCTAACGGCTCCCAGAAGAGAATTATATATATAGATACTAACAAATCAAAATATTCTTCAAAACTAGAATGATGCTTTCTTTTATATTACACTCTAGAAGGAGAAATTAGCTTCAAATTAGACTTCATAGAGTTTATAACAGATTTTGAAAAAAAAATGATGGGACAGAATTTTCATATAACTCAACAAGTTTTACAAAGTATTAAGAATATAAATTATACTTCTTGCTTTTGATGTTTAAAAAAATAGCATACAGAGTATTTTTTATTCAAACAGAAAGGCACTTACATTCTAGTGCTCTCCCTTCAATTATTTCCACAACAGTTACTGCCCATTTATTTTGAGGTACAAAACAAAACACCAAAAAAACTAACAACAAAAAAGGAGGAAAAAAAGTAACACAAAGATGAGAAGTATCTCTAAAATATCACAGACCAGATAATGATACTGAATGCATGAGTCAAGCTTTTCCTTGTTAACCAGAGCTCACCTACGGAGCTGTGTGACAATGGAATGATGGGTTTAACACTTGTCTGTCACATAAGACTGGCAGAGTCATGTACATTGGAGGAAAGTAAACGTATAAAAACCGGGATTATGGCAGTTTATGGTGATGGTATTCACTGATCATCAATAACAATAATAATGTATCCAGAAATTTTTTTCAAAGCATTCATTTGTTATTACATAAATTTTCATTTTACAATTATTATAAATTAATGAAATCAACATTTTGAACACTGCATATATTAAAAATAAAAGCATGAGTAGAAAATCTAAATTAATGTTCATGGTTTGTATTTAACATAACAGGTACATCTATGAAGGAGGGGACACAAAAATAAAAAGTGTACAACAAATGTTTAAGGAAACAAAAAAATATGGTAAATGTAATTTTCAGCTAATTCTTTCTTGAGAGTTGAAAATTGTGAAAGCTTTTGTTGAGCTTTGGTATTGCTTTCTCACCAATTTTATAACAAAAGTTGAGACAAACTGTCATTCAGAAATGTTCTTAACTAACACAATAAGCAGCTTAAGAGTAAAAAAAAAAACTTTTCAACAAAAAATATTACAAGTGTTTTGATATAAAATCCATCTCACATCCATAGCATACACAAGTATATTCTATAAAATCTTACATCCCATAATAAGTTTGAGGCAAGAGTAGAGGGTCAGGTGTTTCCTGGGCACCCTCCTCCCCCTCCCCTCGGTGACTAGTGTCGTAGCTGCTCTGAGCCTCCATGTGCTCATGTCTGTCTCTAGAATTCCCGTTATCGTCCACTACAAGTGGGTTATTCCCTGTCAACATCTGTGAGGAATTTCCTGGCGCTTCCTCTTGCCGGTAGACATGGTGGACACTGTCGGTCTGCGACGCTGACCTGTGACTAAACAAACTACCGGAAAACTGGTTCCACTTGGGTGAATCTGACGAGGACGAAAACGAACTGCTGGATTCGACATTTTCTAGCCTCGATGTCCTGGGAGACAAATTTATATTCCCAGGGTCAATGACCTGCGACATCATCATGACGTTATTGTTCAGGCCAATGTTAGACTGGACATTGGTCAAGCCCTGAAGCTGAGCGTGCTGGTAAGGATTGGGTGATAGCCGGCGCTGACCCCACTGTTGTGGGTCATCCTTGTTCCAGCCCATCACCTTTTCGCTTGACGTCTGTTCATTTGACCCTTGAACTTTATCAACAGAGCTGTACATTTTACTGTCTAGACTAAACTGAGAAACTCTATCACTGCCTTGTATACTTTCTTCGTATTCCATTTTCTCCTCCGACTTCCCCAAACTCCTGTTGTTGTTATCCATGAATTCTTGCGACACAAAACTCCTGTCTAGTGCTTGACCAGGACTTAACTCCTCACCTGCCTGAAACTGTTTGTTTGCTCTATTTAACTGAAGCTTATACTGCATTTTAGGCTCTGGGTTTTCGAGGGTTAAATTCAATTTTTCACTACCGAGATGCTGATTGATAAGATATGGCTGGTTCATGGAGCTAGATATATCCACATGTGGATAACTAGTGGATAAGCTAGTTGGTACGGATGTCTTGTCGTTATGACTGACAATGTTAGTGTTTGACTGCAGGCTGGAAGTCATGATGTACTCCTGCCTGCTTGACGCTTGCACGGTTGACTGTCCAGATGACTGCATCTTTAAGTCAGCTTGGATGTTCTGACGTATGGATGTGGATGAGTGGCTGGAGTAGTGGCTCTGGAGATCCGCCTGCAGAGCAAACGTATCCCCACAGTTGCCACATATGTACGGCCTTTCCTAGAGAACACAAAACATAAAACTACATCAAACAGGGAACATAACTCTACTGTAAATGTTTTATATTTTTAAAAGAGTTTAATTTATAAGAAAATTATTTTCTTTTTAAAACATAACATTTCAAGTTTAACTTTAAAGACTGGTTGTAATGAACTACACTTATTAGGTACACAATATAACAAAATGAAATTTAATTAAATTTTGAAACGTATTCTAAAAGTATTTTTTTTAAATTCTGGTGAAACTAAACCAACATTTATCCATTCGTAGATATAAGAATATAAAAAGATATAAAATACATAAAAGATATAAAAAAATATAAAGAACATAAAAGATATAAAAAAAAATAAAGAACATAAAAGATATAAAAAGCCGAGCTAAATGTTTCTCACCTGACCATGAGTCAACAGGTGAATCCTCAAAGACTGGGAGTTGGTAAAGCCAGCATCACAGTACTCACACACATGAGGGCGGAGCTCCGCATGGTTCACTAGGTGAGCCTGGGGAGAAACACATCAAAACATTCAAGCAATTTTTACAGTCATGTTTTGTGACTTCTACATTTGAAAAGATCATAGGTCAGCGACACGCCTGTAACAGTCAAATGTGGGAGTATCTGTGTGGGGTGAATGCATGTTTCGAGTGGAGGTGTAAAAATGCTATGTAAGAATATAAATCTACAAAATATTGTGGGCAGGGCCATGCGCAAAAAAGAAAAGAGGAAGTGCAGTAGATTGAAGGTGAAAATCGTTGTTTTGGTAGTGTAGCTGCTGTATCTGTGATATCAATAAAATTGTAAAAATCACCAGGATAAGGGTTGTTTGGTGTTATCTATCAGGCCTTAAAATATAATAACACAACAGTGATGCGGTTTGTATTTGCCTTTAATTTGTGCCATGAAGTTGGCTGAACAAACAGGGTGTGACAACGCCCTTCTGACTTAACAATACTATGCTTAATTACGTTGGGTTGACATTTGGGGGTTAGCAAATGTATGCTCAACTACTTGACGGCCATCACTTACACTATTAGACTCAGCTAACTGATAATCTGTGTAATGCCTTGTGACCTTACAAGTTTTTTACACTTGTTAACAGTTTATAAATATGCATTTTTAAATATTAATATAATAAAGGGAAAAGGATACTTCTATCTTAAAAATTATTTAAGAAAGTTTATTTAAAGGTAAAGTACTCATTAAATTGACAGTCCATGGGGCAGGTGAAGTAGAGTTAAACTGCTTCAATGAACTCTGCGTTTGATAGTGTGGTCAGCACTATGCCCAGTCACCTCTTTCCCTAATGTGAACCAGGTACCCATCAGAGTTGGGTGGACTCATAGACAACGTTCCCTCTAAGCTGCGTGGTTGCTGAGCTGCCGCGCAGTGATTTTGTAAAATTAATATAACCTTGTATAAGAATGTTAGAACACCGCGCAAACAAAATATACATTGCACACTAGCTTTTTCTTCTTAGAGGGAACATTGCTCACAGATGTCCTACAGACTTGAGCCCATGATGCGAACTTGAGACTTTTATGATAGCAGTTGTATGACCTACCATTTTGTTTATGCATCTTTAGATAGAAACCATGTTTGGACATGCTTAAACATAAAATGCCTCACCTTCAACAGATTGACGTTGGTGAAGGTGAGCTCACACAGCATACAAGGGTGGAGCACGGCACCATCAACCAGCTTGGAAGAAAAAGATGAGGTGGACGTCGTGGCGGGCCTCTGCTGGCTCCCCACCCCTTCGTCAGACTGCCTTGCCGCCATGGTGGCGCTCATGTCCAGACTTGTCTGCGAGACCATGCCAGAGGTCTTGTAGTCCGGTGGGTCTATGTAGCTGGGCATGCTGAAGCCTCTGGACACTGCAGGTGGGGTGTCCTTGGCTGGAACTGTCAGCTCTTCTGCTGGTTTAGTGTTCAGCAGACTCACAACAGTGGAGATAGGCTTCAGGAGGTCTGAGATGCCTTTAGCGATTTCTGAGTGTGGGGAGGCTGAGGTGGGGACTGAGGAGGGGACTGAGGTGGGGACTGAGGAGGGGACTGAGGCTCTAAGGGTGCTAGAGATCCCAGACTGACTGATGCCAGATGTGGCAGAGATTCCAGATTGACCTGTGACCCCAGACTGACCTGTGACCCCAGATAGTCCTGACATCCCAATTTGGCCTGTGATGCCAGATGGCACTGAGACCTTAGTTGAGACTGTGACCCCAGAAGAGATTGTGACCCCTGATGGGACTGTGACCCCAGATGGGACTGTGACCCCAGTTGGGACTGCGACCCCTGATGAAGTTGAGATCTCCTCCAACTTTTCATCAATCACCAAATGTCCCTCACTTTCTTTTTCAGTCTCTCGGCCCACAGCAGGCTGAGTGAGGCCGTACTTGGCCCTCTTGGCCAGGGACTGTCTCAGACTTTCAGTCAGGTGAGGAGTGGCCAACACTGTGGCGCTCTCAGTCACAGGTTGATGGGAAAATTTACGTTTGTATGGCGGTCTCTGGAACCTGATGGCACTAGCAGCACCTGCAGAACAAAAACATTTTTAGTTGAATTATACGTGTTTGTGTAGATTATTACTACGGGAAGACATACATTTTTTTTTAATTTTAATTTGTATTACAGGTCTTGTATCAAAATCTATTTTATATGCTCTATGGATCATTAGGTCTGAAAGTAGAACTATATATATATATATATCTTAAATTCTAATGTTTTTTGCATCGTACAGAACACTGAAGCTATGAGATTGAAACAAAAATTTCTAAACCACTGATGGCTATTTTTACATCATCTGTATGTATTAATCACTGCTGCTTACAAAAATATCTTAGAAATCAGGGTAAAAAAAATTGAACATTAAGCATAAATCAAGCACCAGTGCCACTTTTAGTACCACCAGGATATCATCTTTTTTTTTTGACAAAATAATAATATAAAAAACTAGATAGATGAAAATATTCTATTAGCTTCTTTTCTTCTACTTTCTCAATTTTAGTGTTGGAAGGGATCCCCTCCAACACAATTAAGTATATGTGTCAACTGATTATGCGCTATTGAAGCCATTGATTCCGATTTCAGCCTGCTTTTCTTTTTGGATTTGCTTCCATAGCCTTTGTCCAACCAAGAACAAACTACAAGGTGGCAGTTGTTTGATTTTGGAGTTGTCTCTCCTAGAAGAGTGGTTGTCCCCAGCTAACAAGCCTCATCTGCCCGAGACTTTTTAGCAACCATGAGCTTTACCAACTCGACCACATCGACCCCCTTCTATTAGCTGATTAACAGGATCTGTATTTTATAAATTAGGCCCCCTTTTTCTATTAAAAAAATTTGGATAGCCCGTCCTATAAAGATACTATTCTAAAGTGAATTAGAAGTTTAGATTGAACTGATGCCATTACCTGTGTGCTGGATGCTGTCTTGTAGACTGTAAGATCTCCTGTACAAAGGATCTATTGTCATGGTGATCACCATTGGCTCCACAACATCAGCAGGAGTGACCTCCTCCTTGAGGTCACCAAGGTGAGCCGTCTCCAGCACCTGCTCCATCTGTTCTTCCATCCTAGAGGAATCATCCGGCTTTCTTTGTTCCTCTCTACCAGAACTATCCGCCTTTCTTGACTCCTCTCTACCAGAACTATCCGCCTTTCTTTGTTCCTCTCTACAAGAATTATCTGCCTTTCTTTGTTCCTCTCTACAAGAATTATCTGCCTTTCTTTGTTCCTCTCTACCAGAACCATCCGCATTTCTTGACTCCTCTCTACCAGAACTATCCGCATTTCTTGACTCCTCTCTAATGGAGTCATCCAGCTTCCCTGACTCTTCTCTAGCAGAACCCTCCAGCTTCCTTGACTCCTCTGTCTCAACCTTGACCTCAGAGTCTTGCTTGCCTTGCTCCTCCTTCTGCCTGTGAGTCTCCTGCATCTCACTTTGCTGCAGTTTTTCAAACGTGCCTGCCGGCAACATCCCTAAAGACTCCAAAACCCCGATATGTTTTCTGGAACGCAGATGCAAGTAATACGACTCTGAGGAACTGAAATACTCCGAACAAAAAGCACAGGAACTGGATTTGGGTTTCTCAACTTCCGGATCTTTCTCTGGTGTATGTGTCTGTGTATGTGAGCCCTCCGCCCCTGGTTGCCGGTTCAGCTCACTGCTGCCTTTTGTTTCTTCACTCCTGAGGATGCTGTTTTCTTCTATAGTGGACAGGCCCTGGAAGGATTTACTTTTGGTAAGTTCAGAGTTTTTGTTTTCTCTGTTGTCTGTTTGTTCTGTATGTTTAGAAGACTGTATGTCTGCCATAGACGCAGGTTTGTTGGTATCAAACACAGAGTCCATGTCAGAGGCAGGGAACGCAGTGTCGTCCGCAAGGGATCTTTGACGTCGCAGGAATCTGGATTTCCCTGAACTGAGACGCCGCGAGCGCTTGGCGGCAGGGTAGTTAACAGCGTCGATGCAGCTGTCACTCTGGCTGTGGGGAGACGGGCTTGACGCTTGCGTTTCTAGGCCAGAATTTTTCCCAGAGTACTCCGCGCCTGTGACTAACAAAATGGGCATGGCGCTTTCTCGGATGAGGGATCCGATAGCGCTGTCTCTGCAGACTGGGGATGTGGTGGCGCTTTCAGAATTTGATCTGCCTTGAGATTCTAGAGTTGGTCTGATAGAAGCTTTAATGACTGCTGGAGCTTTCATTGAAGAGGAGCCAGAGGATAATGGGGAGGATGACATTGTTGATGTAGTTTTGTTAAGATCTGATGAGGTGGCAGTTAATACTTGATGTCCGTCTGTTCTAGGTGGCGCTGACACGGCCGTTGTTTTAGGTGACGCTGGTGTGGAGCGTGGCGTGTAGACATCGTAGGACTCGACAGTGGGACTGTCGCATGACGTGTCTGTTATGGTGACTATAGGAATAGTGGGGACGAAGCTTTTACCTGTGGTGACCACTGAGGAGGGGGTTATCTGCCCGTCATTGTCAAAAGAGCTTGAGGTACTAAGATTGGCGCCAGGGAATGGAATGTTGAACTGAAAAGGCTGGGATTGGCCGGCTAAGACTAAATTTGGCGTGAATGCTACATTCGGCGTGTTCACTGATTGGTTCTCCTTTCTGACAAACTGACCAATGATTGGTCCTTGATCAGGAAGCTTTGACATTCGTCCTCGCTGAGCGTAGCGGGATGAGACGTAAGCTGGGAGGAAAGAGACGAGGGATGGACTTGGGAGGTTGGAAAGATGGAGTTTTGATGGCGATGCTGGGGATTTCAGCAAGGAGAGCTGGTTGGGTCTAGAAGCCAGAGACGGTGACACTGAAGCCTTGGATGGCGACAAGCTAGATTCAGATGGCTGTAGCATTCTCCTGTCTGATGGGTCCTGATCCCTGCAGGGGTGGGGGTCAGTGCTGTCCTCCCCCCTCCTGTCCCCCTTGTCCTCTGTGAACACGTACAGCTCAGACATGCGCTTGTGTGGCTGGTCCCGTTCTTCACTGCCAGACTTCCTGTGTGGGAAGAATCTGGCGCCAGAAGTTTCTGGTCGTTGATCTTCATGCCTGGTCAACAGGTGAGTCAAATCACTGGACTGACCTCTCTGTAAATACAATGAAATAATAAAGTTTGTTTACATTTTTTATTGTCCCTTCAAAGGCTCTCGAAACCAAATATTGCCAAATAATTTATAATATTTCTAATAAGCAAAAGTTTATTTATATAAAAATACTAAAATATCTTGAAAGATGAGTATAAACTATGTTTTTATAAATTGAATATTGACATCAATTATTTATAAAATCCTATTAGTTTTAAATTAATTATAATTTGAATGACTAAAATGTGTGTATGCCTAAACTGACCATTTCATCATGGGAAGTCCCAGGTGTAGGAGACAAGGGCCTGCTACTCTGTTCTTGAGAGCTTTTAAAAGTTGGGTTATCTCCACTGAGGTTCAGACCAGACAAAGGTTTTTTCTGAGCCATCAGCTGTGAGATCAGACTCTGTAGGTTGCTCAGTGCTGCAAACATAGGAGGAAATCTACAGGTTAGTTGATGGGAATATTTGATGTCTACCAAGAAACATTTCATTGTGTATTGTGTAAGTAATGACAAACAGGTCTAAATCACAAGCAGACCAAGACTCAAGGAGCCCTGAGACCAACAGACATATAGAGAGACTTAAACTTAATTGATAATGTTCTTCAGGAAGGGGGTAGTATACAGGGGGATAATTGACAATGTGGTAGGTTATCTGGAGTTAATATTGGGTGTGGAGGGGAGGGGTTAATTAAATGTAATGTCCTATGCCTAGCGTGAATACTGTGGCATACAACAAGTGTTAATAGTTAAAATTTAAAATTTGACACAATAAATAGACATTTGTGAACCGACCAAGATTTGTGACTACACTGAAAGCTGAACCTACCATGTTTGGTGGTGTGAACTAGCAGGTTTGTGAAGCTGAACCTACAAAGATTAGTGATGTGTGAGCTAGTAGGTTTGTGAAGCTGAGCCTACAAAGATTGGTGATGTGTGAACTAGCAGGTTTGTGACTAAACTGAAAGCTAAACCTACCGTGTCTTCTAGCATCTTCATCCACAATCTCTTTAGACTCAGACCTTCTGGGTTGGGACAGGTCCAGCAGGCTCCTGGCTATCTCAGTGTCAATGTTGTGGGGGCTCATGGCTGGACAACAGTTGAAATAGTATGTCAATACTGGTTCATAGTTGCTTTACATTTGTGTTGCTAATGTACAACATATACCTTTAATATTGGTTAATAGTTGCTCTACATTTGTACTGTGAATGCACAACATTTTAAAGTTGTGGTTTAGTAATGGTTCAGAGTTGCTTTATATTTGTGTTGCTATTGTACAACATATTTAAGTTGTCTTTCAACATTTAATATTGGTTGATAGTTGCTCTACATTTGTATTGCAGTAATGCACATTTTAAATTTGTGGTTTAGTAATGGTTCAGAGTTGCTTTATATTTGTGTTGCTAATGTGCAACATTTTACTGTTGTGTTTCAATACTGGCTCATACTTGTTTAAAAGCTGTTTAGCTAATGTGCAACATTTTACTGTTGTGTTTCAATACTGGCTCTTACTTGTTTTAAAGCTGTATTGCTAATGTGCAAAATTTTACTGTAGTGTTAATACATTAACATCTATTATATGGCTTGAATATATGTTGATATACAATAATACGTATCAATTTGTCAGTAAGTGGTACTAAAATATAGATAACTAAAACATATATTACCCCTATTCTCCATTGAAGACTGAGATGAATATGACACATTAGAAGATTCAGAAAATTCTCTGTTTCTGAAAAAAAAATAAAAAATTATAAGTTAAATACCATATCAGACCAAATGGTCACAAGGGACAGATGAAGTAGCTTGATTCTGTTTCTCTAGCCTGGATGTATAAAGGGAGAGTTATGACTTTCCCTGACTCATCTGGTGCCCATCATAGCTGGGTAAACTCATGGGCATCTGACAGACTCAAGACTTTCAGGTTAGTTATCATGCACTCTGCCACATCCCATTAAATTAAATTTAATAGAATTTTAAAAATTGGAACCAGCAGGTTTGACTTGACTTGAACAGGGACCATAACATGTGAGATACAAGCTAACAAGTAGTCAAATAAGATGTCAAAGGTATAAAAATCAATTTAAGAATACTAGTATAACAGATTCATTTTGTTGTTCTCTAGACAGTGACATATATTTGTGGCATTAACACTGGAACAAATGCCTGGGATATTTTGTTTAAAATATTTCAGTGGCTAGAACAGGATAGTTGTTGAGGCTTAGTTGTATCAATCATTTATCTGACCTCTACTATGTTTAGACTTGAGCTAAATTACCTTGACTTTGCTCCAAGTTGACCCAGGGATTGCCTTGGCCTTTGGCCATGGCCAAATGAAAACACAGGTGAAGCCTCATCAACAGATGATTGTCTTTAATAAGAAAAAAAAATGGGTCAACACATTTTGAAATCAATTACATTAATGCAACTACCCTATATGATTTATTTTAAAAATACAGGATTTAAATAACCATTCAGTTGTTTACAAGCAAAAAAAATAGTCTAATCTATCTTAAATACAACACCAAGAAATACTTGTGCTAGTTCAATATAATTATCAGGATGATACAAATGGAAATTAAGTGAAAACTTAAGGTACAAGACCAACAATGAACTCCAGAACTGACCTCTTGAGAACACGAGGAGAACTGGAGCCAGACTTCTCCTGGTCAAACGACTGGTCCTCCATATCATCCCGGGACATGCCCTCATCCTCCTCATCATCCTCGTCATCATCATCATCATCACCCTCAGCGTCATCATCATCCTCCTCCCCTGAATGGTTCTGCCTGTCTGCTGAGTCATGGATGTGAGCCTCTCTGGAGATGCGGCACTGTTCCTCTAGGGCTGCGGAGTCTATCTGAGACTCGTCCACGGAGGTGGGGACTGGGATGATGCCCAGCTCGTAGCATTTCTTCTGGTGAGACTAGACAGACAACACATACACATATATATCTATTATTATTATGAGCTGTGTGATGAAGGGCTATTTAATATGAGAATAGTGAAGAGGTCTAAACATTTTTGTTTCTTCTATCTAACTATCTAAACCCACAGATGAAGTAACAGAAAGTGAAAATTCATATAGATGTAATTTAGGACAAATTTACGTTCAAACGATACTCAAACTAAACAGTATTTTTTAAATTATCATCATTAATTTTTCTTTAAAAACAAACCTAATTTCTTATAAATTAATAACAAGAATTAAATATTTTGCAACTTTATTTTAAAATCTAGAACACTTAATTTTATTTATTTTTAAATTAAATTAATGAGAACCTTTTCATCACACCCAAATTGGTTGAACAGAAAATGTATTGTTTTATTGCTAGTAAAAAGTGAACTGAACTCAAATTCCTTAAAACAGAAAATCTTTTATCCCTCACCTTAGATTTCATATGCTTGGTCAAGTTCCCTTTAGTTTTAAAAGAGAAATGGCAGTGTCGACAGTGATAGGGTCGAAGGTCAGTGTGTGTCCGAAGATGTTTCTTCAACATGCTGGGCTTCTTACAGCGGATGCCACACAGTTCACAGATGTACTTGCCCCACCCCCGGCCGCGGATGTACTCATAGTTCTCATCACTCTTGAAGCCCCCTTTGGTGAGGCGCAGCTTGTGACGTTTACTTTCCTTAGAGGAGCTTTGTTCTAGCTTGATGCCGGACTTGGAGTCTTCACTCTGGGGAGCACCATCACACAGAAGGTTATGGAGTGATACATTAGTCAGTTGTAAAATAGCACTGTTCTTTTGGTGTTTTTGAAAAATGTCTTATCTTTAAACAAATAAATACATTATTTAACATGTGATTCATATTTTAAATCTCTTTAAAATAATTCATTCGTTAACTGTTTAATCAATGAGAAACTCAATTGTGAGATTTGATATTTTTACTTTAGCATCATTTTATTCTATAGACTTATGTTATAAAGTTAATATTCTGCAGTAGATGTTTACATATCTTTTTTACATTACTCGTTAACATATTACTATTACTAAACATAACAAACATAGGGACCATTTATTTTTTTTCTATTACAAGAACTGAACTGAAACAAAACAGCTCTTAACAGTATTAAACACAAAAACTGGTTAGTTTGAGTTAAAGAACCCTATCAATGTAATCTATGCTTTCATTGGATTAAACCAGCTATGTATAATTTTTATCCAAATGTATGATCATTAAACACTGGGACCATCAGCTTACCTTCACATGTGCAGACAACTCTTTCTTGACCATCCCCATCTTCTTCTTCTGGTAGGTCCAGTATGAGCTGTGTGTTTGGTTGCCCCCATTGCTGGGCGTCATGGAGCACTGGGCAAACACTGGGTTGGAGCCACTCCTGGGGCTACACAGGGCAACACAGTCAAGTTAGAGATACAGGAAACAGAGGAGGGAACTCTAGACACTAACGTTACACAGAACACTAGCAGCTATACACAAATACAGGGGAGACTACTGATTTGTTTGGTGATAACATGGAATGGAAGTTGTATTTTGTTCCTCTTCACTGTAACATTACACAGAACACAAATACAGGGTAACCTACTGATTTGTTTGGTGATAACATGGAATGGAAGTTGTATTTTGTTCCTCTTCATGGTAACAATACACAGAACACAAATACAGAGGTAAGTACTGATTTGTTTGGTGATACCATAGAATGGGAGATGTATTTTGTTCCTCTTCACACCAACATTACACAGAACACTAGCAGCTAAACAAATATAGGGGAGACTACTGATTTGTTTGGTGTAACTTGGGAGTATACTTTGTTTTTGGTACTTAAAAATAAAATAAAAATTGCAATAAGATAAATGTTAGATGAATGTTTTCAACATTTTTTCAGCCATAGGTTTTTATTTATTAACAATGAGCTATAATTATTGATTCATTGAATAGCTGGCTTGGTAATTCTTTAAACTCACAAAAAGCCTTTAACATATTTATGATAATATTTTCTGTGTGCAAAATATACAATTTATTCTCTATTAGGTTCTATTTATTAATTTTTACAAGATTTTAATTATTATATACTTATTAGGGCTAAACTAATATTTGTGACTGCATATCCAGGAAGAGTTCCGAACAGAAACTAAATCTAAGAATAATGTTAGAATAAATTTCTACCAACAGATAAAAAGAGAATAAAAGTACCTGGATTTGTATAAAGCTAGCAGCATGCGTGAGGTCAACCCTACAGGGTTAGGGTTGTGGGTTGCCAGACGCCAGTTTGAGTACATGGAGATCTTCTTACTTCCCTTGACAGCCACGTACATGGGCTGGGGGCGCTGTATGCAGCAGAAGGTTACGTGGGTGGTGGTGTAGAGTGTGGGGCAGGAGTGGCCGTACATGGGGGTGTTGAGGGTGCCGGAGGGGGTGACGTTGCTGAGGTGTTGTTCCACGGAGGAGAGGAGGGTTGAAGGGGTGGAGAGGCTGATTCCAAATGCAGCGGCAGCGGATTTGACAGGCGTGAAGAGTGGCCGTGAGGTAGCATGCGGCTCCTCTGTTGAGGTATCCTGGCTGCCTTTGCTGGGGGAGGAGAGGAGTCTGGCTCGGAGTTGAGCTGGTGAAGCTAGCGATGGTTTGTCAAGATGCACTGGAGGTGTGGACAGACTTTTGTCTGACGTCACACTGTCTGACCTCTCCGTGGTGCTGGGCGTGGCTGGAGGGAGGTCATCCTTGGAATCCTGGGGCAGGGGGTAGCTGGGTGGGCTCTTTAGTTTAGCTGGGTCAGCACTTCCTGGTGTTCCGGTGCTGGGGGTCTCCGAGAACGATGAAGAAGAAGATGAGTAGGATAACAAGGTCCTCCCCAACAGTGTAGGGTTGGGGTTGCCCTGCGCTAACGCCATGGCAGTCATTGAGTCTAATGTCACAGGGGATGACGAGTGCCACAGCCGTGACAAGATCTGGAAGTGACGATGTAAGGAAATGGACCGTTTGAGCAACCAGTTTTTAGCCTCTCTCTGAAGCATAGCCGTGCCACCTACAGCTGGTAAAATAATCTTTGACCCAGCTAGTGTCAAGGGTGATAGATTAACCAAAGACCCGGTAAGCTTGCTGCCATGGTTCCACTCCGACAACAAGGGTCCACTCTCTAACCTGTTGACGCTGACAAAAGGAATGGCATAGTTGATCGGGATCGTCACGTTGTTGAAGTTGTCCCCAGACAGGTCTATCAACAGCTCATTGCTGTCCAGACTCGCAATGGAGGCAGATTTGGGGAAAAAGAATGGCGTCTCCTGGGACATGCTGCGCACGCTGAGTCCGGAATCAAAAGACTCTGACATGCTTTCACTTTTTGTCTGCATCACCCAAGACTTTTTCATCTCTTCTGGGCCAAGGCTGGAAACAGATTTAGAGCTGGACAACATTTTGGAGATCATTCTAGACCCACTGGCGCTATCTTTCTCTTCAATACTTAACGGTGATGGTTTGTGTTGTTTGGGTTTTTTAATCCGCACCGCCGCGGATGGTTCTGAGAAAGCTCTCATGACCGGAGGGTGAATTTTCACAGTTTCCACATTGACCAGTGTTTCAGATTCAGATCTGAAGAAAGCTTCTGGAGCTTTCTCTGGTTCCTTATGCTTGCCCATAACGGCTGAGGTGATGACGGCGTTGGGCAGGCTGCCCAGCTTCTGAGATGACACCACAGGTTTGGTTAGAGACGCCAGCAAGACGGAGTTGTTTGATGCCGGGAGATGGGGCTTGGATGCCGGAGGAAAGAGAGTCGGCTGTTGGTGGATGATGGATGGGGATTCTCCATGAGCCTTGAGCAGGAATCCGGAGAGAGGTGGATCAACAGACATGGATTTCTCTTGGCTTCTGTCTTGGCCTCTCTCAACGCTCAGAGACTGCTTTAGCAGGAGCTTGTCTTTTAGCTTCCTGCGAGTGCCACTCAAATCCGCTGGGGTGTCGGGCGTGGCGGGGGTCAATGGAGTCCCAGGTGTGCTTGGAGCGGTTAAGGACAGGGTTAACTGCGGTGGCTGGGAGAGCCGGAACTGGGGCTGAGATTTTTGGTCAGGCATGGGGCTGGATATTGACAGCTTCATGTTGGGGTCGACGTTGTGGAATGTGACGGCTGGAATGTAGGGTATAACACGAGGGGAGGTCTGTGCAAACTGGGCGCTGTTGACAGACTGGGCTGAGGTTATGTTCAGCGTCAGGCCTGAGCCAGACGCCAGCTTTGTTGGTCCTGGGACAAAGGCGTTGGAGTCTAAGCTCTGGGTTCTGACTGTCTTACCAGTGAGAGGAATGGTCGGAGTTATTGGGGTGATCGGAGTCCCCGGAGTGGGTAGGGAGGACACTGGAAAACTTATCATGAAGCCGCTGGACTTAGGTGTGCCTGGCATGGGCGTGTTGGGTGCTAGAGTGTTGATGGGAGTTCCAGGTGTTAGGACTGAGACGGTGCTGGTTCCAGCGAAGGTCAAGCCAGGTAATGTGACGCCTGTGCTGAGTCCTAAGATGGGGAGTCCGGCCTTAGTGGCCGGGGTCAAGAGGTTGGTGGTGGTGCTGATGCCAGAGCTGAGTTGCCTGGTTGGCTTGTGTCCAGCGGCGCCTGGCACCATGGGCTGGCCAATCATGCTGCTGGTGGAGATGCTGCTGGCTGTTGTGGAAGTCACTGGAACTGTTGCTCCAGAGGAAACTTCCCCTGTGATGGGGACATTTTGGGATAAGGATCGTGGTAACAAGAGCTTCTGGTACTGTCCACTTGGCACTAGAAGAAGACTGCCCTGGTTAGCGGAGAGGGAGGTGTCTTTCTGTGACGGCAGATCCAAAGAAGAGTTATGCCTCATCCCTGGTAACAAGGCCTGAGATCCTATTTGAGCTCCTCTGGCTTTGGCTAAAACTAAATTTAAATCTTTTGGTCTATTTTTTGAACCTTTGGGTCTCCCTTTCTTCCTGGGCATTAGAGGACTTGTGTTTTCAGTGACCAGGGTTTGTTGATGAATCAACTGTTTATCAGATGATGCCAGGGTTAAGACAGACGGGGAGAGCGTGGACAGAGATTGGTTTGTGGTCATGATGAGCGAGGCTGAGGATGCCAGAATGAGCTGTTCCCTTAACTTGGGGAGATCCTTGTTCGCCAGCTGACCAGTCTGTAGGTCCGTGGTGGAGAGGGATTTAAACAGCGCCGGGTTGGCTTTCTTCAACAGATGTGGGTCTCTGACAATCAGTAAACCACTGGATGGCTCCAGCTCACTGGGGGATTTGGTCTCATGCTGGTCCCCAGTTTGGCTGAGGCTGGGCTCCATGGCGGACAAACTCCGACGCAGGCCTTTAGTTTTGGGACAAGCCTGTGCCTTGTGTTGTGTTAGCAAGCTGTACTGGGTGAAGACTTCGTTACAATCATCACAAGGAAAGGGACCATTCATGACATACGCCCCAGCGGCCGCAGCCAACCCATCTGACAAACCTTGACTTTTAAAGTGCTCCGTGGTTAAAATAGCCAGATTGTCATTATCCGTACGCCCTAAAATGCCACCTTTTTTCTTCCAATCTAATTGGGCATCACTCTGAGGAACTGATAACCTATGCTGCAGCTCAGTCATAAAAGAAGCTTGTTTAGCCTGGGCTGGGGTTGATGTGACACCTTGCCTACTCATTGATTTCTTCTGATCATGCAAACTACCAGAAGTGCCGATCTTAAATCTGCCAGCACCGCTGGCGTCTGGGTTGGTCAGATCCAGAGACCCAGTCTGCAGCAGAGGGGTAGTGGTGAGCTTGTTCACTGTGGAAGAGTCAGAAAATGATTTTGATGTTAACAAGGGCGACCCAGCTTTGGGGAACTGTACGCTCGGCTGACCAATCATCGGGCTGGGTTGACGCGGTGCTTGCAGCATTGAACTGATGATGCTCTGTGGTGTCTCGGTGCTGGTTTTTGTCACTGGAAGTGTTACCGCAGCCTGCTGGATGTGAGATAACGACTGGTGGCTGGCATTTTTAGGCAGTTTGATCTGGATCTGGATCTCATGCGGACCTGGACCTGGGACTATTTTAGTCGGGAGAGAGGCAACAGCTTGACCTGCTGATACAGCAGGCATCAGGCCTGTGTTTCCTTGACTGTCCTGTACGGTCAATCTAGTGCCAGACAGGGTCCCGCTGCCCAGACTTGAAGAGACAGAAAAAGATTTTGGTGTTTCTGATAACAGCGGCGGACCTGATCGGACTTCTGGAATTGACATATGTTTATAGACAGTCCCAAGACTTTGAGGCGCTGACTTTTTCATCAAATTCTCATAATCGTCAGGTTTAGTTTTTTGATCACCAGGCAAAGATTGTTTAGATAGAGAGGTCACAGGCACACAAATGAGCTGAGCATTGCTCAATGGAACTTGTATGTTGTTTAAGGCATCAATGGGCACAGAACTGAACATTTGAGTCTGAAACTGAGTCAAGGAACCCACACCTGACGCGCTCTTACTGATGAAATTAACAGGAAAGGACTGGGAGACTAAGGTATTGGTGTTCTCCGCAGAGGACTCCTGGGAGGATTTGTGTGTCTGGGATGGATCTGAACCTGCTTGATGCAGTTGGATTTGCTGGTACTGCTGGTCCGGGTGGAGGACCACCACCTCTCCATACTGCGGGGCGGAGATGGTTTGGATGACGTTGGCCAGATGTAGGTTATTGGTACTGCCCGTGGTCACTATCAGCGTAGGCTGGTTGTTACCCTCAGCGATGGACTCTGCTTTTTTCAAGGCAGAAGTAGACATGGATCTTTTGACAAAGTCGGGTTTTAACTTCCCTCCATCAGAATCTCCAAGAGACAACGACGCTGCCAGTTTTTTCTTCCACTGTTTGTCAGTGTTAGGCTCGACTGTCAGTCTATCCATAGACGTCTCACTGGACGGTTTAAAGTCTGACATTTTCAAAGTCTGAAAACTAGAATCACTCGTCTGGCGGAGATATTTATTCCGTGGTCTGGGGGGATCGGTTACCGTGTGTTTGTCAATAATTTCTGCGTTGGATGATATGATATTTTCAATTCTGTCTTTGAGCATGTCAGGTGTGACAGAAGATGAGAGGGAACGACCTTGGTATTTTAACATTTTATCACTGTCAGAATCTAAAGCATGCTGATACACCAGTGTGGGCTTCTCATTCTGAGGACAAATGGTTGAAAATGCTGCTGTCTTGGAATCACCAAGCGCCGGATGCCGAGTTGATGCCGGAACTGCTAATTTAGTTCCCTCCCCTTCCAGTGAAAACTGTCTGGATCCTCTGGTGGAGGATTCATCAACAGACGACAGGCTGCTGACGGTGCTGGACTGGCTGAAAATAGACCTCATGCTGCTGGCGGAGATATCACTACGGTGAGACAGAAGCTTTGGTCGAGATGGCGAGTCAAATGAAAGACGGTCTGCCGAGTGGTCGCTGGAATGTGACGCCAGCTGAGACCTGTACTTGGCCTCCAACTCGGAATGTTCTTTAAAACTTAATTTTGATTGTAACACTGGGGTGCTCACGAGGCTGGGGGAGGGGTGGGACAGGTTGGGGGACAAGCTCATCACACACCCACTGCAGTTTGTATCACTCATCAACTGTTGGCCGGCCACAGTCGTGGTGTTTAACCCAAACTTTAACTTATCTGAAACATATTCCGCTTTCGGTACCAGAATCTTCACAAGCATTTCATTATCCGTTTGAAAATGGTGCGTCATTAGAACAGGGAGACTACTAGGATAAAGCTGGCTATATTTTTTCTTCAATTCTTGAAGTCCGCTAAGTATTTCTTCACCGTTGCTAATATTATCCGTGGTGAGAATATTTGGCCGAACAACTGACTCAGCTACATCGTATTTCGCCAGTTCAGAGTCAGATGGCTTATCAAACGCACAAAAAACCCTAGAGAACCAGTTACTGAGCTCTCGCTTGCCTTCACTCTCTTGTTGCAGTAATTGTTGGCGCTTGTTTTTGTCAATTTTTTGCCGAATACCCTCCAACACACTTTCTTGTCGGACCATTTGATCAGGCCGGTGATGCTCGGTGCGGTTATGTAAGTCCACCTCAGCATTCGCACTCTCCGTGTTCTCAACTATAACCTTTGGGTTTTCCCCATTGCTTTCATCGTCATGGTCAATAATTGTGGCCCCTTCAACGTCAGTGTCAGTCCCTTCAGAGTCATTGTCATCACTCTTGACTTCCTCTTCTTTACTTGACTCCATACTGCTATCTTTTGCTCCAGACAATGATAAACCGGTCCTCGACCCATGGGCGATGGATTTACAATGTTTAGACAAGTTGCTTTTTGTTTTGAATGAGACGCCGCATACAACACAGGGGAATGGTCTCTCGTTTGTGTGCGCCCTGATGTGTTTCTCCAGCACGCTTGGCTTGGCGCACGTTCGGTCGCAATACTTGCACTGATACTTGCCAGGTTTTTGTGGGTGTATGCTCTTCCTGCCTGGCGTTGATGCTGCTGGTTTTGTCGAGACGGACACTTCCTTTTCCGCAGTTTCAGTAATCACTGAATACGACTGCGGCTGGGTGGTAATCGTCTGATAATCCTGGACATCAGAATGGGCAGCGTTTTTCAAGACTAGTTTAATCCCTTCCGCAGAGTCTTCGTTAGCGTGTGTAAAAGTAAACGAGGCTTGCTCGCTGGTGGAGCTGGGTATGGTGGAGATGGTGTAGAAGCCTTCGTCACTTGCCCCGTCGTACGAGATGTTTGAGGGTGCGATGATGAGCTGCGTGCCCTCGTCCTGGTCAACCAGTTGAACATCCTTAAGGACAATGAAATTCTGTGTGTGATCTACGGCTATGGTGACTGGGGCTTGGTGTGTGGGCGTGTCCTCTCTCATGTTCTGTAGCTCTGAATCAGTCACCTAGTGGAGACATTACATCTTTTAAACTAGGAGAAAGCTAGGAGAACTAAACAATACATTTTCTAAATGTTATCTGCCTTAGTAGTTAACAAGTTTCTTTACAAGATATTTACCACAAGTTACTTGTTGATAAAAATATGTATCTTTAAATATAGGTACTTATGAGAGGCAGCATGGTTGGATGGTAGAGTGCTCAACTGCTAACATGAAAGTCCTTAGGATGTCACTGAGTCCAGCCATCTCTAATGGGTGACTGACTCATATTAAAGAAAGAAAAGGTGGATGGGCATAGAACTGGCCATGCTATCCCTCCATTTGCTGAGGTGACAGAAATAAATGAACTCTACTTCATCAGTCTTGTTGATCATCAATTACGAATAAACAGAACTTTTTACTTTTGAGTGAAGAGCTATTTGTAGAGCACAGAACAGCTAACTCTCTATGTTACCTGCTCTATAAACTACTTTGTTTCTCAATGGATTAGGTTCCCAAAATCCCAAAATAAATGTTTGCAAATAGTGTATGTTTTATATCCTGAAGTACACACATAAACAAACAGAACAATGTTCTAGAACTTGAGCACCCTCCAAGACATGTACCTTAAACAAAGCTTCCAGAGAACGTGTGGATCTGCGGTCTCTAATCTGACCACCTTTGACCTCCTGTTCTGGACCCGTGACCAGAGCAGGAGGCGCCGAGGATGACTGGGTCCTCTGGTTCTGTCCGTCATGGTGATGGATGGTCACTAGCTGATGCTGGACGCTGGGCTGACTGTCCGAGGTTAAGGGCCCATGAACTAGGGGCGGGGGAGGGGGGAGGGTTTCTATCTGTACTAGCTGCCCTTGTGAGACCTGGAGAAGGCAGTTACAAGTTAGGACAAGAGGACATGGTAGGACAAGAGGACATTATATGGTAGGACAAGAGGACATTACAGGACAAGACAACATATGACAGGACAAGAGAATATGACATGGTAGGACAAGAGGACATGACAGGACAAGACAACAAATGACAGGACAAGAGGATATGACATGGTAGGACAAGAAGACATGACAGGACAAGACAACATATGACAGGACAAGAGGATATGACATGGTAGGACAAGAAGACATGACAGGACAAGACAACATGATATAGTAGGAAAAGAGGACATGATATGTTAGGACAAGAGGACATGACATGGTAGGACAAGAGGACATCACATGACATGAGGACATGACAGGATTGGAAGACAGAACACGAAACAGGGACATGACAAGTAGACCAGATAGAATTAAATTTAGGACATATGTTACAAAGAGAGCACAAGCTAACAAATAGGTTAGAAAATTATACACAAGTGAGAAGTATAAACAGGACTTAAGGCACAAACAGGACAAAGTTAAGGACAAAAGGACAAAGTTAAGAATTTTTATTATATAGAATTAAACAATGACCAAAAACACAAATGTGACAAAGTCGTGTTAAATATTGTAATAGGTTGCATAAAGGTAAAAATAAAGATAATTTTAATGCCAATGATGTGAACATTTACAAACCTATCATACAGACTACAATGACAATGCTTATTCTTAGTACAACCTAATAAATTAAATTTTATTTATAATTAAAATATGAACCCCCTCCCCTCCCATAACAACTTAGAGTATTTTAATTAAGTAACAATAAACTTTATAAAAACCTAGTTACACACAAAAAAGTCAAGTAGAACAAAGAAAGACAACCCTACATTTATTACGTTCTGCTCCACGGGCTGTTCTGTGATGGTCAGTGTTGTGGCCCCTGGGAGAGTGGCCTGCCCCAGGTGGGACAGGATGGCCTCCGTGACCACGGCTGTCGATGTGGCCGGGGTGGGCGGCAGCAGTGGAGGTGGGGCGGGGGAGGTGGAGGTGGCGGCTCGGGACAGGATGCTGGCCTTCTTGCTGGTCGGCTGGACGTTGCCTGCTTGGGGGGGGGGGGGGGGGGAGGAAGGAGGACTTTAGTTAGTAGCTGGCAAACACATCGGTAGATAGCAGAAGCTTACATAGAGCATAGATTGACACAGGTCAAAGGTTAAATGTTGATTGTAACGATACCCTAACTAACCATGGTTCAAACTGTTACAAGTATGACTACCCTGGTCTTACTCTTTACTAGCATGCTATCCTAATCCTAGTCCTTGCTTTTGGAGTATCATTACCCTAACCCTGTTCTTAACTTTTAATAGTATCGCTACCCTAACCCTGATTATAACTATAAGCCAAGATAGCTTAAATCCTAGTCCAAGTCCATCCAGTAGGAAAATAATTGTATGCGATAGGCCAACTGTATTGCAATGCTGCAAGCTAAGGTATCGAATCGAACCTTTACCATGTCACCAGCCATCAAGATAGTGTATCGAATCTATCCCCTGTCATAAATACTGCAAAATAAGGAAGGCATCGATACGAACCTATCCCATATCACCAAAGCTGCAAGTGGTATCGATACGACCACTCCATTTCACCAATACTGCAATATACGTTATCGATACGAACCTACCCCATATCACCAACACTGCAAGCTATGGTATCGATACGAACCTACCCCATATCACCAACACTACAAGCTATGGTATCGATACGAACACCCCATATCACCAACACTGCAAGCTATGGTATCGATACGAACACCCCCATACAACCAACGACGAATACACGACTTACTAGAGCTCCGGGTTTGCCTGGTTTTCTTGTCCAAATCCATGGAGCCGCTAGACGCGCCGCTTCCATTGTCTGTGACGCTGCCTACTGGAGTCAGAGACATTCAAACATTAGTGGAGGTTAGGGTCAATGTTTTAGGAGTCAGAGACAGTCAAACGTTAGTGGAGGTTAGGGTCAATATTTTAGGAGTCAGAGACATTCAAACATTAGTGGAGGTTAGGGTCAATGTTTTAGGAGTCAGAGACAGTCAAACGTTAGTGGAGGTTAGGGTCAATATTTTAGGAGTCAGAGACATTCAAACATTAGTGGAGGTTAGGGTCAATATTTTAGGAGTCAGAGACATTCAAATATTAGTGGAGGTTAGGGTCAATATTTTAGGAGTCGGAGACATTCAAACATTAGTGGAGGTTAGGGTCAATATTTTAGGAGTCAGAGACATTCAAACATTAGTGGAGGTCAGGGTCAATATTTTAGGAGTCAGAGACATTCAAACATTAGTGGAGGTTAGGGTCAATATTTTAGGAGTCAGAGACATTCAAATATTAGTGGAGGTTAGGGTCAATATTTTAGGAGTCAGAGACATTCTAATATTAGTGGAGGTTAGGGTCAATATTTTAGGAGTCAGAGACATTCAAATATTAGTGGAGGTTAGGGGCGATATTTTAGGAGTCAGAGACATTCAAATATTAGTGGAGGTTAGGGTCAATATTTTAGGAGTCAGAGACATTCAAACATTAGTGGAGATCAGGGTCGATATTTTACTATACAGGTTAAAGTTTAGGGTTTCTTTCTGACATTTTTTTTCCAGGAGGGGGGGGGGGGAGGGAGCACGTGAGACTTTCGGGGAGGGGAGGGAGACATTGGTTAAAGTATATATTTTGTGTATAAAATATTATTTTCTTCGGTGGGGGGAGGGGGGAGCTGTGCCCCTTCGAAAAAGATGCCTGAAAGAAACTCTGCTACTGTTGTGGTAACAATGAAGTAGGTTCTGGTCAATGTTTTACTTAATTTTATTATTCCGGGTACTGTTCATAACGACTGGAAGTAGGGCACAGAACAAAACTTCACTGACCACAGAGATTTTTTTTTTAAACTAATTTTAAAATATTCCTCTGATCATTCACATCAATGTCAAACAAAACACAGAGAAACCACATCAGACATAGTTTTATAAATAAATAAATACAGCCGTTATGGCATTAATTTCACTTAATACACTCTTAATTAATAACCTCCCCCTTTCCCCCCCCCCACTATATTGTGACCTCCCCCCCCCCCCTCACTACATTGTGACCCCCCCCCCCCCCCCATGCTTGACTACAGTACATGTCAAATATTTCCCCACTGTTTACATTTATCAACGTCACGCGCATCGTGCCAGGTCAAGGTGCCGGATTAAATATAAACAATAGGTAAACACAGTCACGTGATATCCGCCCGTGTTCCATGGGGAGAGGGGGGGGGGGGTCAAAGGTGGGTTGATCTTACACCAGCACATTTTTCTTTTGTCATATAAAACAATGATTTTAAATACGTTTTGAAAAAAAGATAGCAAACATAATACAGTTACAAGAAAGAGATTCTATCACCGAACATATAGATCTAAGTTTCTTATAATTTTATTTAGAAAGCACAGACGCTGATGAAATTTTAATTCATAAAACTAGAGGTACTACTCGTTTTAAATTGTTAGGTGTTAGTGTAAATATTCTAATTGCCAAGTTCCGAAAATGTGGGCGTTCTATTGTTAAGTTTTTTAAATAATAGTTGTAGTCGAAATGTAGGTCAGTTCAAAAAGTTGTGTAGGGAATCTTGGTTTTCATCAATGGTTACAACTGGCAACTACTCGAGAGCTTACTGTAGTACAATCAAGGAACTCGCAGGGGTGTCCACCCAACCGGTTGTACTAGCAAGGAGTCCACCCAACCAGCTGTACCAACAAGGTGTCCACCCAACCAGTTGTACCAGAGAGGTGTCCACCCAACCAGTTGTACCAGAGAGGTGTCCACCCTACCAGCTGTACCAGCAGGGTGTCCACCCTACCAGCTGTACCAGAGAGGTGTCCACCCAACCAGTTGTACCAGAGAGGTGTCCACCCAACCAGCTGTACCAACAAGGTGTCCACCCAACCAGTTGTACCAGAGAGGTGTCCACCCAACCAGTTGTACCAGAGAGGTGTCCACCCTACCAGCTGTACCAGCAGGGTGTCCACCCAACCAGGTGTACCAACAAGGTGTCCACCCAACCAGCTGTACCAGCAGGGTGTCCACCCAACCAGTTGTACCAGCAGGGTGTCCACCCAACCAGTTGTACCAGAGAGGTGTCCACCCAACCAGTTGTACCAACAAGGTGTCCACCCAACCAGGTGTACCAGCAGGGTGTCCACCCAACCAGTTGTACCAGAGAGGTGTCCACCCTACCAGCTGTACCAGCAGGGTGTCCACCCAACCAGTTGTACCAGAGAGGTGTCCACCCTACCAGCTGTACCAACGAGGTGTCCACCCTACCAGCTGTACCAGCAGGGTGTCCACCCAACCAGTTGTACCAGCAGGGTGTCCACCCAACCAGCTGTACCGGACACCCAACCAGGTGTACCAACGAGGTTGCCCAGGCCTACAGATAACACTGCCCTATGTTTGTTTGCTTTAGCCTGGGCTAATAAGAAAAACAAATTAGCGAGCAGATCTGCCGTCACCTGCTTCATTAGAGATCAGGACAGGAATGTTGCTGCTAATGGTGGGGGGAGGGGGGGGGTCTGGGACCATGGGCACATATACCCCGCCAGTTGTTCAAGATGGACCAAACGGCAGAGGGCGTCCCACCTGTTGTTTCAGTATGTAAGGGCAAAATGTACCTGCGAGCATATTTCCTAACACGTTTTTCCAGAATATAATTCAAGAATATAATGGGTACCTACTTTGGCCGATCAACTGATGAAGAATAAAAAGGCACACTATGTCGCTTATGTATATATGTCCTAACCGTTATTCTAAGCAGCAATGGCATGAAGTGACTATGTACCTGCATATATATAGCACTGTGATGCCTTTAATCTGACAGAACATTAGTATTCTAACGTGACGATATACCACACACCATATTACGATTATACAAGCGCATTTAGCCAACATCGGCTGGTGTATTCCCCTTATCAGTGTCCGACAGTGGACCCGTCCAAAAATAGGTGTGTGGGTGATTAGTAATATTAAAATATCAGGGTAGGCCTAATAATATTTAGATCAGATTTGGGGGTTAGGGCTATTACAACATGGGTTAGGGTATGCGATACCTCGGACATTATCAAATTATAGTTCATTGGTTATTAGATCTACCATCAAATTAGCTACTTTTTGCCAAGATTCCAATTACTGCGGCATCACCTAACACTGGTCTGGAACATACACCAATAGACTGTACATGCTTCTTGATACAGTTCACACAAATGTAATACACATAGACGGGACCGATAGCGCTTTCTCACGGCATATTCATTCTCAATTGTGTGCCATACAACAAAGGCAAACAGGCCTTTCACTGATCGACACGCCTTCACTTTTGGTTTATTTATGAAGCCTTGCTGCCACATTAGCATGTCTGTTTGTTTATGTATTGACGAGGCGAGACTGTCTTGCATGTTATAAGTCTGTCTCAAACTTATAGGTAAGCTACTATTGTAGACAAAGCAAGCTGACAACTATTATGTGATCATCTTTACTTTAGATGCCTCGATCGATAACATTCCTCAACCAATCATAATGCAAGGTACTCAATATAGCTGAGTGAGCTCAATAAACCGAAGTCTGATCCTAATGTCAAAATTTCCTGGTGACCAATATTCGAACCTAGAACCATATATTTAATAACGTGGCCAACGCAGTTAAACCGAAGTGGGTGTGTTAACCTATGTTTAACCAAAACCTTCAACTAAATAAGGGCTACTATATTGCAGAAAACTTTAGTATATA